CCAACTTCACCCACCCAGGCAATAAAATCAGCCTGCTAGGGTTCCTGGGCCTCGTCCACTGCCTCCCGTGCAGAGGTGAAGCCGTGGGCTCCTAATGGTGGACAAGACCCAGAGAGAATGGGGCACTGGGGAGAGACCCTGCCCGTAGACAGGGCTCGTAGTTGCCCTGGGGCCCATGACTTGAGGCTCTGAGAAGCCCCCTGGTTTCATCATGTAAAGCCCCTAACCTGAGTCCTACCTTACCTGGTGGGGAAGAACTTAGCCTTAAATCCTGACCTGACACTCAGGCTGTGTCCCCACTGTTACCCTCTTGGGGCCCTGAGTAACACCCATTTGACAGAGCTCATATGCTGGGGTGTCTGTGCTTCAGTCTGAGCATGCTGCCCGCATCCCTGCTGAGATGGATGAGCACCACTCCAGGTGCCCTCCGCCCTGGAGGAAACATTGACAGAGGGCACCCCTGGCCTCTCTGTGCTCAGGACTGGACCAGCAAGCACCCAGAGAGAGCAACGGGAAGGACTTGGAGGGAGCGGGCATGAGATCTAGGGTTTGGGTGGTAATTAGAAGTTTGCGGGGTGGAGCCCATGAGGCAGAGTGCACTGGGTCTAGGGTTAGTCTCAGGGGTTGGAGTGCTACCAGGCAACTTATCCAGGAGGAAGCTGGGTAGGGCTGCAGACCTAAAAGCTAAGCCCAGGAGCCTGCATTGCCCCAGGGATAAGATTAATCTCAGATCAGCCTGGCTATATGGTCCAGAACACACCGCCACAGTCCCCTCCTCCAGACCCCACCTCTAGCTTCTGGGAAGAGAGATTTCAAGAAATGCCTGTCCTGGGCAGGAGGGCCGGATTGCCCTCCCAGCCTCCTCTGGCCCTGGGGACTGAGGATGGGAATTTGCCCCCTTCCCTTTTTGATTTCCTGAAGCTGGCTAGAGAGTCCATTCCAGATGTATGGTGGGCGGGGCCTGTAGGGGTGCCCAGGTGTGACCCTGTAATGTGGGTCTTCTCAGCTCCTTTTACACATGGAGAAATCAAGGCCAGAGAGTTCAGAGGCTGTTTTTCAGACCCACAAGCAACTGAACTGGGAGAGAGAGGGTTGTCCATTCTGAGTCTGGCATGAAGCTCTCCAGCTAGGGTGTTTTGGGTCTCCTTGTACTCATCGCTGTAAACAGCCTCAGTTTACTGCCCATCTGTAGAATGGTTGCTGAACAACATATTAAAAGGGACACGTGGTCAGGAGTGTGGTACATGCCAGATTCCCAGAACTTGAGTAATAGAGGCAGGATGATGATCAAGAGTTCAAGGCCAGCCCTGGCTACAAACCAAGTTTGAGTAGCCTAGGCTACTTGAGACTATCTCAAAAGCACAAAATGAAGAGTGTGGAGCTAGGTGGAAACCCCACCACAAGACTGTCTAGACGAGCCTCAGTTTCCCAACCTGAGACTAAAGGATGTGCAGGGTGAACCCCTCCCCCTTGCCTCTTTGGGGAGGTCCTAGTGGAAACTGGCAATGCACATGCACCCAGTAATTGTGCATCACGGTGCGCCTGGACTCCAGTGACACGTGGGAACCCCACTCGTGTGTGCTCTCTCTCCTCAGATTCTTGCGATGGAGTGGAGTGCGGCCCTGGCAAGGCGTGCCGCATGTTGGGGGGCCGTCCACACTGCGAGTGCGTGCCAAACTGCGAGGGGCTTCCCGCGGGCTTCCAGGTCTGCGGCTCTGATGGCGCCACCTACCGGGACGAATGCGAACTGCGCGCCGCGCGCTGTCGCGGACACCCAGACCTGCGCGTCATGTACCGCGGCCGCTGCCAAAGTAAGAGCCGAGGCCGTGGAGGGGCGGGGCCGCGAGGGCGGGGCCAGGGAGAGGACAGGGAGGTGCCTCAGGACTGGGAAAGGCGGAGCCTGGAAAAAGATAGGGCTGACCAAGGGGCGGGGTCTAGAGAGGGCGGGGCCTGACAAAGGCAAGACCGACGTAAGGCTCGCTGACGGGCGGGGCCTAGGGAGAGGTGTGCCCATGCAGGGGCGGAGCCTGGGGTGGAGGGGCCTGGGATGAGATGGTGGGCCTACTCAAGGGCAAGGCCTGGAAGGGGCGGTACTTGGATACTTTGTGGGCGTGGCCCGCACAGAGGCCAGTCCAGAAGTTGGTAAGTGGGCTCTATCCGGTTGTTGCCCAAGTGCACACTAGCCTGAAGAAGGGCCGGACCACACTGGCTGCACTTTACGGACGCTACTCCTTGATAATACTAGGGGGCGGGGCCTGAGGGAGGGGCGGGGCTATGCAAAACTGTGGGTCAGGTCAGGTGCGTGCTAAAGACGGCAGATCGAGATCCAGTCCCCGTTTAGCGCCGACTCGCGGGCGTGTCCAGGAGCAGGGCTGTGCGCGGCAGCACGTAGCGTGCCTTGCGGGTCAGTGTGCCCTTACAAGTGCTGACGCGCGGGAGAAGCTGTGTAGCCACGGGAAGAGGCTTGTGATTGATTGGGGGGGTGGGGAGAATGTGGGTGTGGCTGATGGGTGGAGCATCGTAGGATCGGACAGGGTTTGGCAACTGGGTGAGTCTGTCATTCTGGGGGCGGGACTTCTCTCCGATGGGCGGGGCTTAACAGGTGAGTGGTGCTTGCGTTCTAGTGGATGGATCTTGACAGCAGGGTGGGGCTCGAAGAGTGGCGGTGCGCTTCTGTCCTAAGAGTGGGGCTTTCAGGTGGAGTCCTTGTCTGAGGGTAGCTGGACTCACAGGGAGGAGACACCATCCTGGACCTGACCCGCCCTCTCTCGGGCCTTCAGAGTCGTGCGCTCAGGTAGTGTGCCCGCGCCCCCAGTCGTGCCTTGTGGATCAGACCGGCAGCGCACACTGCGTAGTGTGTCGCGCTGCGCCCTGCCCGGTACCTTCAAACCCCGGCCAAGAACTCTGTGGCAACAACAACGTTACCTACATCTCCTCCTGTCACCTGCGCCAGGCCACTTGCTTTCTGGGCCGCTCCATTGGGGTTCGGCACCCGGGCATCTGCACAGGTGAGAGACGTGGGTAGGTCTGGGCGTCTGGGTCTGGGCGTCTGGTCCACCGAGGGCCAGTGCATCATGTTTACTCTCACCTCCATCCCTGTAGGTGGCTCCAAAGTACCAGCAGAGGAGGAAGAGAACTTCGTGTGAGCTGCAGCCACTGGGCCTGGTATTTGAGGCCGTCCCGATTTTATTTATTGTTACAGAAAAGATTCTAATTTATGTCACATGGACAGTCCCCAAATCTGACCTGGAACCACTTCGGGATCCCCTAGGGTCCTGAGCACCTATCACAAGAACTGAAGGAAGATTTTATAAGAGTTGGTATGTGCCATCACCAGCACCTGGGATCACCTGCCACCCAGGGAGGGCAGCTTCGTGGAGACCCCCTGCTTTGATCTCCCCACCTGCTTTCTAGGCTGGAGCTGTCTTAGGGCACAGCCAATGGTAGTGTGTCCACCTCAATTGGTGTTTGCATATGGCTGACCTCAGGCCAGACCAAGCAGCATCAGGTCAGAGAAACACTGGGTTCATTCCTGTTTAGTCCACTCAGGGTGGGACCTGGTAGAAACATTGGCTGACTCGCAGGCCCAGGACAGCCAGTGGACACTAGGATTTGCTGTGCCCAGAGCACCCGAGTCACTTTAGCACCTACCACCCTGTTCCCTGGACATCCACATTAGCTTTCACCCAGTTCCCAACCAGCCCCACTTGTCACCAAGCCCAGACGCAGGTAGTGACACCAGCCAGATGCTGTTTGGGGCTGGAAGTGTTACTTCTCACCCTTCACCCAGACAGCTGCGGCTGAGAATTACCCACAGGTGCCTTCAAGGAAACCGGAAGGGGGAGCTGTAGCTCAGCAGGCAGAGGGCTTTTGTAGCGTTTGCAAAGCCCCGCCTCCATCCCCAGCACCACAGAAAACAGATATGTTTGCTCTGGCCTGTCATCCCCGCACTTGGGAAGCAAAGGCAAGGGGATCCGGCGTTGAAGTTCATCCTTGGCCAGCCTGAGCTAGATGAGACCTTATCTTAAAAAGAAAAAAAAAACTTAAAAAGGAAGACAAGGTGTCAGACCACAACAGAAGACCATGGGAAGGTGCCCAGCCCTCCAGTTTGGAAGCAAGGAGTTCCCAGGGTCCTTCTTGTCACCCTCCAGTTCTCAGCTGTGCCTTTCTTGTAATGTCCCCAAAAGTGTCCTTAGTAGGGAGCTGTGGCACCCTCTCTACCCTGGAGCTCTGCCTCACCAAGGAAGTAAAAGGCAATAAAACCCCCATGTGTGACCAGCCTCTGCCTGCCGCCTGCCTCTGAACCTGGACTACAGTGCAGCATGAGGCCATCCACGAAAGCTTTCAGATGCAGCATGAGGCCACCCACGAAAGCTTTCAGAGACAAGTGGCACATCCTCCAGGGTCCCTGGGAAGTCTGGAGGCGAGTGGATAGGAGGGAGAGGAAGTGCACCCTCTGCGGTCCTGGAGGTACAGGGACAGGGACGAGATGTCCCTAAGATGTCAGCTTGTCCAGGGCTCAGGAATGAAGGTTTGGACTCAGACCAGGAGGAATGCTGGCCGATGGGACGATCAGTACATGGAGGCGATGATGCCAGGAGTCCAGCTACAGCTTTTTGGGTTTTTTGTTCTCACTACATATATTCGTCCCCCTGTCTGTGTGTTAGTGGGTTAGTCACGATCCATAAGGATAGAGCAGGTGCGAAGGCCCGGGAGCCACCCAGAATGGGGACCACAGGGTAGAAGTGACAACTTGAGGAGGGGCAACATAGTAGGTCTTGGTTACAAGGGTGACTGTGTGGACTGAGGGGGCTCCTGGAGTTGACCACATGTCAGGCCATAAGCCATGTATCTAGTTAGTCAGCCTTCAGTTCACTAGCCCCGAGTTCTCAGGGTTTCAGGGCCAAGCCTTGGAACATTCCAGATGAGAGCCAGTGGACACAGGCTGCCATTCGTCTCTGCCCCATTGGGGCTGAGATCCAAACAGCCCTCACAGATCTTCACATAGGACCAGGGGATGAGCTGGCCCGAACCACGTCCCAGATCCAGGTCACAAACGCTGACACTTGAGTGTAGACATCCGGGGTCCTGGAGTCACCACACCAGAGGCCTGAGAAAGACACAAGGCCATGGGCCCGTCTTCCACAGACCAAGGGCCCACCAGAGTCTGCCTGAAGTGAAAAGTGTTTGAGGTTAAGAGTTGTTCCTGGGGTCTTGGGTCCCCCCAAAGGAGTCTCTTAGAAGCAGACAGGTCTGTGGTCTTCAAGCAGTGCACAGCCTATGTAGATGTGTGCAACAGCCCTCTGGTATGTCTCCCCAAGAAGCTGAAGTTTTCCTTATGTCTCAGCTCCTAGACTATACTTTCAGTGTTCCTCAATATTCACCGTGATATCCCCAACTCACTGCCTGGTCTCACTGGCATAATTGCTATGTAGGAATTGCTGTGTCATCTTTTAGGAACCCAGACCTGGGAGAGTTATCTGTTTGCGCCCCCTACTGGATGTGCCTCGTATGTTCAGACATATATCCCCAGGGCATTTTTGTGCAGGATACATACAGGCTGCAGAAATGAAAGTCTTTGCCTGACTCTCAATCACCTCTCACTTTCCTGGGCCTCAATTTCTCCATCCAATCCAACATTAATGGGACTGAGTTCTCAAAGGTAGCCTACTTCCAACTCTGACCCCCCCTTCGTGGGCCTCGGTTTCCCCATATGACAAGCAAGCGTGGTGTGGAATCATACCGCGCAAAAACCACGCCGCCGGTGGTCCCCACTGTGGGTGCAGAGCATGGCAGGACTCAGCTGGCCCTGCCAGGAGCTGTTGCAGACACTCAGGTCCAGTATGCGCACCTCGACTTCCATCAGCCCAGGCGGAGGCTCCTCAAAGTCAGACACGAAGCCCCAGCCAGATACGTGGCAACGCGTGCCCACCATGGGTGGCTTAGCACCTTTTTCTGGCAATGGTAATAGCCTCACAGCCGGGCCCAGGATGGCAGAGCCATTCAGCTGCAGGAAGTATGTTAGATTCAGTGCCACCCACTCTTGCACCCGACTCATTAACCCTCTCCCACCTTAGTGTCCCTATAGTGTAAAGAGTCAGAAACAACTGTGATTCACCCGACATCAGACTCTTGCCCCCAGCCACACCAGGCAGCTCGATTGTGGGCCAGGGATACGACCTTCCACCTTCTCTCTCAGCATCCCCCTCCATTCTTAGCCCTCCGTAACTCCCATTGTCCTTGGAGTGAAGACTCTTGGCCCACCAGTGATTCCAACCCCCTTGAGAGTTTCCCCATTCAAGCTCAGTTTACATATCTCTTCCTTCAGGAGGCCTCTGAAACTCTGCAGTGCAAACAGGCACCTCAGGACCCCTGTACACCAGCTAGCTGTGTGGTTTTGCTGAGTGGCTGCCTGGGGCCACGGCTGCGTCTCCTGCCACTCAGTTGGAGGGTGTGGAAAAATATGACCAGGCCCAGGGAAAGGACCTGCACATCTCTTTTTTTCTCTTTATAGTCCGGGCTGTCCTGGAACTCACTCTGTAGACCAGGCTGGCCTTGAACTCAGAAATCCGCCTGCCTCTGCCTCCCAAGTGCTGGGATTAAAGGCGTGTGCCACCACCAGCCGGCGGACCGGCTCATCTTGATGCACCGATACCTCAGTTTCCCCATTTCCCAGCTTCAGTTTCTTCACTTGTACTGGAGGTCAGGTGACTCTAAGGGGTCCCACCCCTAGCTT